TGGAGGGAGAGACAAGGAGACAGCACAGAGTGTAAATGCTGCAGCAGGGTGGCATAGTGATTAGGAGGGCATCCTTCAACAACCACAGCTGGAAGTGATGGTTCAAGCCAGGATTCAAGCATCTGTAATGGCAGCAATATGCGCTTCTGAAGTGTCCCTGAGCAAGACTCTGAATCCCTACCAGCTCTTGATAACCCTGCGCTTTGACCTCTCTCTGACGGCAGAAGCAAAAGATGAATTTTTCCTCCCAGGGATCAATAGAGGATCATGAAATGAATCCTATTTGCGGAGGATTGGATCTGACAGAGCAGACAAAACGTTCCACTCTAACACTGACCATGTGCCCAAGCAGAGCTCACTGGCTTTCAGATTTGAGCTGTCTTTGGCAGAGAGCAGTGCCTGTTGATCGATGACGGTCCAGCTCACCTTCCTCTGCCAATTATTTCTGCCCTGGGCCACCGGTCCCCGTTAAAAAGCCATCCATGTTATCAGTCACCCTTTCTCCTTTATATCATCTCTCCTTCCCTCTGTCTCTTTGTCCTCGCCATCCATCTCTGTCTCTCCTCAGTCTCTGTCTCAGAGAGAGGGAGAGAGAACTCTGTATTACTTTGTTTCAGTCTCCATTTATCTATCCATCTTCCTTCATCTTTCTGCATCTGTGCACCCCCCACCCCCCAACCGCTCTCCCTTTCCTCTATCGTTCTTTCTCTCTCTCTCCCTCTCCCTCGGCAGCTGTGGAGTAAGTTAATTAGCTGGTGGTTTTGTGAGATGCTGATTGATTGGACTGTCTAACAAACCTACAGACTTCCTCTATCAATCTGCCCACCACATTGTATTGCCAGGAAGGAGGAGGGAAGGGTGGGCAGGGCAGGGAAAGAGAGAGAGGAGACAGGAGAGGAGATGCCGGGCAGAGAGGTTAGACAAGGAGATGAAGTAGACAGATGAGAAAGCTGAAGATGGAAAATTATTTTTTGGGGCAAATTTTGGCATATTACTTAAAAGGGGAAACCTAATAAAGGAAAGGACAAAAAGGCCACTGCAGGTAGAAACAATGAGACTAGGAGAGAAAGAGCTTCTCTGACAGAACAGTGGTTTTGTTATTTCTGAGGGACGGCTGCTTAATAAATGGTCAGCATAATTAAAGACACATATGGATGCCAGGAGCACGGATGAGCTGTAAAACCCATAAAACTGATTCCATAATTATATTGAGCCACTGCGGACACTCTTTATGACCCTCATTACAATACCACATACTGTAACACACAACATGTGTGTGTGTGTGTGTGTGTGTGTGTGTGTGGTTTTCAGGTTACTATCTTCCTTAGCCATTTTTGATCTTCTGTCAGATTTCATTCCATTTTGCGTCAGTGTTGCTGATGGGATTGGTGTCTATTTAGCGATGGGCCTATCATCACAGGCTTAATGGCTTTGGAGCACTGCAGTGATTTTACAGGCTGACAAACAACTCTGAATATGAATCAGGAGGATTTTGAATGTGAGGCACACCAAGGCTGCAACAAGCTATTCATCTGGGTGTATGCAAAAACTCTATTCAAGGCTCCTCGGCTAAATCGGTAATGCGCGTTTGCTACATCTTGGCACATATTCAGTACGAACAGGAATCACACATTTATCAGAATGTACAACACATGCTTGTTTACTGTATTTGCAATTATATAAAGGTCCATACGTTTGTGTTTAAGAAATGCTTCAAAACCATCTGTCAATCTTGAGAAAATATATCTAGATTTCTTAATATGTCTGCAAGTGTGTGATTTGTTTCAAAGACTTGATGGACTAATTCTGTAAAAACATCAATTTATGTAATGACGTATTGAGTGACAGGCTCTCTTAGCTCTTGTCATAATGTCAATTCTAATAACAAAGTGATACCTCCACGGCCTTCTTTTGGTCTTTAAATCACAGATCAGAGGTTGAGCAATAACCTTGAGTGAAATCAGCTTACTTTGCCATGGGGTTGATCTCTGTGTTTGTTTACTCTACAAATGGTAGTTTTCTTTATAAACCAGTCTCTCACAATAACAAATGTCTGTTGAAATTGGCAGTTGGGAGGTGATTTTCAATGTTTTTTCTCAGTTGTCATCTTGACTTTTAACAACTATATGACTTTTGTGGTATCACATTACACTGAACTGTTGATATTTGTATCCCCTGACAGAGCAAATGTTGCACACAAAGCAATACACTTTATTTGTTTTATTGCCCATTTGTCAGCAGTCTGCTGCTGTTTTCTGCTCTGGGATATGGACACTAAGTGCATTTCATAAATCCAGTATCAAACATCATGTGATAAAAGTGTGGGGATGCCACACATCCATCTGAATGTTTCTGTTATCATCCTCTTCTCTGTCCATCTCACTCCCTCCATATATTGCTCTTTTTATCTCTACCTAGTCAATTAACTCAACATTTAACCCCATAAAAGACTCACTATGTATAATCACAGTTACCAATTATTCTTCTATGTTCACTGTACCATTTAATAAAGATGTGTTGCCTTGTTTAGACATGTCATTCCTAGCTCCACACATTTACCTATTAAAACAGTTCTATTCTGTTTAGATTGTGTAAAACTGTATAGTTTACACTGTTAATGTGGTTCAGAACCAGTTTTGAACCTTTAATCAGCTGATTTTAAACGATACTTCTTAACAAAGTCAGTGATTGATTAAACTTAAGACTTAGGTGGACTTTGTAAAACTTTTATAGTGAAGTGAGTGAATTCACCAGCTTTGAGGGATGAAAGACAATTTCAATCAGGTACCTTTTTATATATTTTTAAAAGAATCTGTCCTCAAGTACAGCAATTTGAGGGAATGAACTCTACAATTTCAAAAACTTTACAGCAGGGACATAATTTCCCACATGGCTTTTGTAAAAGACTTGTGGCCCTGACCTTGAAAAAAAGTGTGAGTGCTGTGTTTTTTTTTCCAGCTGGGCTGTAACTCACCTTGAGGAAAGTGTCCAGAGATCCGTTTTCCATGAACTCTGTTATGATCATCACTGGCTTACCTACGGATACACATAACAAGGCAGCTGTTAGCGGAGCAGAATTACAAGGAAGAAAGACACCAACTATAAAGAGATGAGGACAGAGAAGTAGTGGAGTCCACAGCTGTGACCAGCCTTCCTCTCTGTCTCTCTGCCTCTCTCTAGGGGATAACATGGCATGTCGTCATCAGTCACACTGACAGCTTCTAATCAGCCCTCTCCATAAACGCCACGAGATAATTAGAATGGACCAATCCACCAGAATATGTGTGTGTTGGTTTGTGTGTGTATGAGGGGGCCTCCTGAGACCTCATGAATACTAATCAGCCTCAAGGGGAAGGGGGTTGTGGTTGGATCGCTATGCACCTGCACCTGCATGAGTGTGTGTTTCTGTGCGTGTTTGTGCGATGAAAGGGTGGTTGACTGACAGGCCCCGCGCACTATGGTCCCCTGCATGGCATCTGGTGGGGCTTACAAATGATTAACAAAGTACCTGCAATCACACACACACACACACCAAAAACAGCAGTTGTCCCTCTTTTATAGGGTTCTCCCTATAGACACCAGCCCCTAGTGCCGATCTTTGCCAATCACAAACAAACATGCAATGCACAGTACAAATGATGGTATGTGTGTGTGTGTGTGTGTGTGCTTGGTTTGTAAACACACAGACTATGTCAGTTGTGATGAATAGGTCACATTTCCCCAATCAGACCTCAGAGATGCTGGGAAAAACCGGGGTGGGGGGATAAAGACAGCACTAGAGATGGAGAGAGAAACTGAAGGAGTAGAGACAGAGAGATTCTCTATCTTGTAAAATATTTTTTAAAGAGCAACAAAAATTGATTGTGAGTACTTCTCGTTTTATTTTAAGTGTTATTAGTAATGACTTTTTTCCTTTGTTGGGGTGTGCATTATTATTCTTTATGTATTCACTAAATGGTTATTTACCTAACTCATTTACTCGGACAACATGGTTTTGATCAAGATGTCAGGCAAATAAAGGTCCATTGAATAAAAATTTGAAATTGAAAATGAACTGAAAGAAAAAGTTCAGAAAGTACAGAAATGAATGGAAAACTAATATAGAAGATTGAGGAGTGTAATGGAAAACATCAATTGGACAAAAGAAGCAAAGGGTTAAAGGATAACAGAGGGGAAAGAAAGATTGATCGGATGAGGAAAGTGGAAGCAAAGAGGGAAGGAAAGAAGAGGAGAGGAAAGAAGAGGAGGAGGACAAGTAGGAGGACAAGGAAGGGTCAAAAGCTTGTCACTAAAAGGCAGGAACAACACCACTGAGGCCTACAGTGAGATTGTAGGTAAAGACAGCAATACATCACCTTAAATGAATTCACTATCTCACTGCAGCAAACATACACACAGACAAGGACACACACACAAACAGAGTCGCCTGGTCTCTGGTGGTGGTGTCTTCTTTGACAGTAACATTAGTCTCAGGGATAAAAGTGAAAGAGAATTGGATTTTCTTCTGCTGGGGGTGAGGACTGCTGGTCACATTTATCTCCACACGGGGCCTCTGTTGTGTGTGGTGTGTTGCTCTGTGTGTGTGTGTGTG